GCATACAAATACACTGTGGGGCTCTTCCCTTTGATCTCCCGGACAGACTGTCCTCTTAGGTGTTTAATTTCTTTCACACTCCCTCTGGAAGTAAGTTACAGCAGGAAATAGGGGGTAACAGCTCCGAGAAGGACAGGAGGGGCCTTTGGAGCTGGAGTGGACAAGGGAGGAGGAAGAGGTGTTACTTCTATTCATTAACCCATTCCGGAGTCAGTCTCTCTTTCCCCTTCCCTCCCCTTTAACCAAATGCAAACTAACTTGGGCAAGCGTGTTCTCCAGCTCTGATGTTATTACCAAGTGGAGGTTCAACAGAACCATGTTTTGAGGAGGGAGAAAAAGGGTTCTCTTTGGCCTCTGAGGACAGGACAAGAAGCGATGGGCTTAAATTTCAGCAAGGGAGGTTTAGATTGGACATTAGGAAAAACTTCCCACCTGTCAGGCTGGTGAAGCACTGGAATAAATTGCCTCCGGAGGTTGTGGCATCTCCATCACTGGTGATTTTTAAGAGCAGACAAACATCAGTCAGGGATGGTCTTGATTCTGAGTCCTGCCATGAGGGCAGGAGACTGCATTTGACCTCCCCAGGTTCCTTCCAGTTCTAGGACTCCATGATTTGGAGACAAAGGAGGGACAAAAGAGCTACAGCTGGCTCAGGACAATGCATCGGTCCTGTTTTCACTTGGACTCCCCTGAAATGATCGTCAGCCCATCGCATGGCGGAAATGCTTTGCTATCCGACCCTGCAGGCCCAACCCTGCCCCAGGATGCTTTCACAAGCTATCTTCATATATCATTGTTTGCGGTGGTGGATCTCATTGAAAGATTAGTGCCAGGTTGCAAACAGACAGAGCTGTACACTAGTGGGTTGAGCCCAGAGATGAGAGCCTATGCATCTTTCCTGACTTTGCCACTGACTTGCTGCATGACCTTGGGCGAATCCCTTGGGCCTTGCACACAGCGAGTTTTTCTTCCACATTTCCCACGGTTGCACTAGCCAGTGATGTGGGAGCAAAAGAGGAAGCACTAATGTAGACAAGGCACTGGTATTTTTGCCACCATCCAAGCAGGACTGAGCAACACAGTAGAAGGGGAGAGGGAACATGCGCATTCCCACCCTTGCCGGCACTGTTAGTACTACTTCACTGGTGGGCTGTGTCTACACTGGGCCACTTATTCCGGAAAATCAGCCGCTTTTCCAGAATAAGCTGCGAGCTCTCTACACTGGCCCTTGAATTTCCGGAAAAGCAACGATGCTCTACTGTACAAAATCAGCCACTATTCCGGAAAAACTAT